GATCACATTAGACATAATTGAAGAAGTCAAAGGTTCGTCAGAATGGGTGTCTCCTATGGTTCCAGTTCTGAAGGAGAATGGCGATGTAAGTATATGTATCAACATGAGGAAGGCCAATACAGCAATATTACGGGAGAATTATCCACTTCCAACAATGGATACACTTTTTATCAAATTTTAGGAAGGCGAAGCTGTTCTCTAAATTAGATATAAAAAATGCTTTCCACCAAGTAGAATTATCCTAGATCCCGAGTCATTACGACGTTTATAAGTAGTAAAGGTCTATATAGGTATAAAAGACTCATGTTTGGGATCAGTGTGGCTCCAGAAATATTTCAAAAGATTCTTGAAAGAATATTACTGATTTTATTGATGATATCCTTGTTTATGGAAGAAATCAAGAAGAACATAAACAAAGACTTAAATTTACGCTACAAATTTTAAAGGAAAATAACGTGTTACTTAACAAAGACAAATGTATTTTTAAAACAAAACAAATAAAGTTTCTTGGACATACATTATCTCCATCAGGATCAAAAACCATTAGAAAGCTATATTAATGTAGTCAAAACATTCAGAACACCAATAACTATTGATGAAGTACACAGTTTTCTAGGGTTAGTAAATTTTATCGGTAAATGGATACCAAATCTAGCCACATTGACGGAACCTATACGAAAGCTTCTGTGCCTTAAGCTTGGAAAACATACTAACATAATGAAGTACTGGGAAATGAGCCAAGAAAAAGCTTTTAGGGAGCTAAAAGTGGCTTTAACCAGAATTAACACGCTGGGTTATTACGATCCAAATGATAGGACCCAAGTTGTTGCGGATGCCAAGTCCGGTCGGCCTGGGGGCTGTGTTAATACAGTTCGATGATAGTGGTCCGAGGATAATTGCTTACGGTAATAAAAGCTTAACAAATGCCGAGAAGCGTTATTGCTAAACCGAAAAAGAAGCTCTTGCCCTAGTCAGAGCGGTAGAACACGTCAAGATATATTTGTATGGTAAAGAAAATTTTGAATTGATCACAGACAATAAACCATTAGAAGTAATTTTTGGCCCAAAGTTACGTCCGTGTGCACGTATCGAACGTTGGGTTCTCCGTTTACAATCGTTTAATTATAAAGTAATATATCGGACAGGGAAAAATAACATTGCAGATTTTCTATCCCGACTGTGCCAGGTGTTAGTACTCCTTTCGAAACCCATGACTGTACTAATCAGATTGTTGAATACTCTCGTCCATTGGCAGTTAGCCTTCGGGAAATTCGACAACATTCTGAAGCAGATGAAGAGACAAAAAAAATTAAAGATGGAATCGAGACAAATTTTTGGAACGATCCAATTAAATATTGTCAAGCTTTTCAGAATGAATTCTGCATGTCTGATGAAATTATGTTGAGAGGAACACGAATAGTTATTCCAAAAAATCTAAGACAAAGAGTCTTAGATGCTGCCCACGAGGGTCATCCGGGGATAGTTGCCATGAAGAGCAGACTGCGTACTAAGGTTTGGTGGCCCAAGATCGATGAACATGCCGAAAAAATAGCCGACAAAGTATATAAAAAAAATCTAAATAGAGCAAGCAAAATCACTCCGGATTTCGACTCGACCCCTCATACTATAATAGACAAAAAAGGCGGCGACGTTTACTATAAAAGACGATAGTTCTGGTCAGTGGAAAATAGCCAACGATTAAATCCTAAATTAGTTTAGTCTTAATTATCTAAGGGTAAGTAAATGTAAATAGAATTTATGTTATTATTATTATTATTATTATTNATTCTTAAAAATGCATATGATCAACCAACTCTCCAAATAAAAATTATACTTTAAAAATTACGGTAAATGTTCAAAAACGTTTTCGTTTTGGCAAATGCAGAAAATGAAGATAAGCACAATATGATCGGAATTTATTATACCTGTGACCGCAACTGTGAAATTGCTTGTCAGATTGATGTATTTGTATGAATATACTGAAAAAAATTTGATCGAAATTTGTTTGAATTTTGAGCACTCGAGAAACCTACAAGAATGAGCATGGGATTAAAACTCCAATAATGTTTAGAACAATTACATTGAAAATGAATTTTTAGAGGGAAAACGTCTGAATCTGGTATGAGCTTGTTACACCTATCAGCTCTAATATTTTTTTGTGCACAGCTTAAGGGGCTAACGGCAGCTCATTGGGCGGAGTGCAGTTGGGCCGTAGTCCGCTTTTGTTTTTCTTGATGTTGGATATCTCGACTCTTGCTAAATCGGTCTCTAGTTTCGAGAAGAAACGAGAAATATGTATATGAAAGATGTCAATTAGGACGCCAACCTACTGAATAAAGTATTAATTATTTCTCCTTTCCCCCCGACATCCCAGCAGGTATGGGATGGAAACAATATAAGGGTACAGAATAAGTTACTATAAAAGATAAAAACCAGAACACTACTGAGTCTCAAATTTTTATTCAACCCTCACCCGGAATTCGTGGTGGCTGTGACGGTGGTGGAGGTGTCTTACAGTCCTCTCGGGTTATGTAGTCTTGTCTCACTCTCGGCTTGTTGCAATGGTCACCTAAGTTGCGTTCTAGTTGTCTGGGTTTTCAGACTGGATTTTAAAGGTCCTCAATTTGGCAATTTGCCTCGGCTTATGGCATTTACAGTGGTTAATTAGCACTAGCTTTGATTATTGCTAGCTTTGATTGAAATTAGTACTACCATCTTTAATTATCACTAGCTGAATATTACTAGCTTTATCACTAGCTGATTATTACTAGCTTCTTTAATTAATTACTAGCTATCTAAACTAGCTGGCTGGCTTCTAAAACGCAACGTGGGAGAAAAAAAACCTAATTAGTTCTAAAACAGATATTTGGGGAAACGTGCTTACTCACTACTATAATCTATTTACAAACTATGTACATCTCTATGAACAACTGAATTTATCTATTTAATTATTGGTATAATTACCGTGTCACGGTGTAGGATGATGTAGATTCAACGTGATTTTGCACAAAATGGCTACTTTAACTCGAAATCACTAGAAACTATTAATACTTTTCACCAGCCAGAGTCAGAATGGAAAATGGCCAAGCAGGGCCTTATCTCTAGTTTTTAAGAACTGGAGTTCCAAAAAAATACAATCTTCTGATTGGCTCTCACTCCGTACTAAACTGGTTAAAACTTTACACAATTAAAAATCCCTACTTTTGTATAAACATAATTGTTCTTTTGTTCAGTGTTCATACGTTCTATTTCCCAAATATCTTATTTATACTATGGTTCTAGTGATGGGAAGTTTCGATACTTTTGTGGACTCATTCATTCCAGGTTCAATCCGCACACGGAACGAATATATTCTGATACGTAAGTCACTTATTTTTAAATTCGTTAAATTAATGACTGGATAATACGAGTCGTTGCGTTTAACTAAGACAAACCCATAAGATGAACATAAGGCAAATCGATTTAATTTATTACCAGTCATTCAAAAAATGCATGCACTGCTTTGCTTATAAAAAAATAAATAAGTAATTAAAAGTGAATTAACTAAATCATAATGAAAAATGATTATTTTTGATATTTCAAAAAGGGAATCGTAGAAATATATGTTTATATTTCTAAGCGAAGGCAAATATTTCGTTTCGCATTCATATGATTATAACTAGTTCCTAAAGACCTACACTTTCAGAACTGCACATAACATACAAAAGTACGTGTACTGGGTGTTCATATGGCTGCTACATTAAATTACACCTGTGGAAATGTGTCTGGAATTTTGTGACATAATATAAGATGTTACAACTGCCCCTCTCCAAAAAAAAAATTTAAATGAGTATCATTTAAATTTGTTTGTTACCACTAAGCGGTAAGTAAAACTTTACTTAATAAATAATAAATTTCCTGGTAATCAATGTGCAGGGCATTTCGTATGCTCTGTAAAAAATAAGTTTATACTTAATAGGCAAGTATTACCTTTGAAATATTTAAGCTGGCATAAAAATGTACCAATTGAAATCGTTGTTTAAACGTATCGATATAAACTTTCTAAAAGTTTGTTAGAATGAGATATAATACAATTTATTTTTTTTTTATAGAATGAAGCTATAAATTAATTTTACTTAAAACTTGTTATTGTGAATCCAATAACCTTAAATTTATACCGAATATTTACACGATTTAAAGACTAACTATCTTTGGAAATGTAAAATTAATTTTATAATTAAATTAACGTCATAATTTAATTATACCCTATCGTATGTAACGATTTATAAACACCAAACTATAGGCATGTTTATTTCAGACTCGCTTGAAGCTGAAATCCCACGGAAAACAAAAATTGGACTTGAAACGTTGGAAACAGGGCGTCCCTAACCTGATTCACTGGTGGTAAACGAAAATAAGAGGTTTGAAGCGCTTGCTATCAGTTCACCTCACTACTGACAGACTTGCGACTGGAATCACTCACTTGGCCGTTGCTCAAGGGTGTTCCAGTTTTAATTTCAACAAAAATATGGAGCTTGACACACATGTTAACAGGTCGCTCCACGTCCTGCTAAACAAGTGTACAAAAAAAAAACATTTAAGTGATTCGGGAGTCTTCCAGAACAATATCACGACGTCACAACCCTCTCATTAGCACACTAGCGGAGCTGAGACAAATCACAGTAGCACCATGCCACCTGAAATAAAATTCAGCGCCGGGTTACCCTCAACTAAGTTGACTGGTGACGAGGAACCCCCCCATGTCCATCCTTCCATCTAATCGTGTACTGAATAAACAGTGACGGCTTATGGCGAGCCGAGACGTCCCTGGTATTGACCCAGTCCCTATGGAAAATTCAGAACTTAAAACTAAAGGAAGACCGTCATGGATCGTGTCTGATACGGGATTACAGAAGCCGTTGACCTGCCTAAAAAATAATTCGAAGTCACCTCGACATTCCGGATGTAGAATGGCTTAGCTCGGAGCATTGTTGTTGTCCGCAGCCTCGAAATCATGGTGCGTTACCCTAGAATTGGAGCGATAGGAAACCTCGTCCTTGATCCGAACCGAAATGTTAAAATTCCTTCGAGGATCTCTTCCAGACTAAATCAGGTAAACTATCAGTAAATTAACGTCATAATCGGTAGTAGCTCTAATAAAATTCATAACTGTATTTCGAAACTAATAAGCAATCAAACTAGCTTGAACGAGACCAATGCAGCCTGCCTTCGATCCTTCGTAGCGTTGACCTACACAACGTCTATTCGAAGTCCCCAGACTGGTAGCACGAGAATCTCCTTCAATTAGGTACAAGAATAAGAGTAAAGATTAAAGAAAGTAAGAAGAAAAAAAAACAGAAGAAGACTATGACGATGTTATTGTCATTTAATTACTGAAATCGATGAAATCCCGTTCGAAACTAAATAAATGTTTCGACATAACCAAAATATGTAATATTCGAAACTAAGATTTCATTATTTTCAGGCCTCGACTCGGAATCTACAGACAACGAGGAGGAAATAAAAGTAACCCACGCTTTACTTCCCGGACATCTTTTAGGAAAAGGAAAAGGAGTAGATGCCGCCGAAGAAAAAAGGAAAATTCTGAAGTGAAATACGGAAATGTAATCTGCTATCTGTCAACTAGCAGGTATGAATTAGCTACTCTTAATAATTAGCTTAAGTACTTGGCAAAATGAAATGAAATAAAATGCGTAATCAATAACGAATCTGACACTTGCCTACGTCATATGGGTTAAGTTAAGAGTTAAGTTCTAACCCGTATCGCTAATTATCGCTACGTTATTAATCTTGTAACTCAACGCATTGCATCGTTAGAGTTCTACTAACCTCCTATGTTTCGAATTCGTAAAATTGAAATTGTCAAGAAGTTAACGACTGTTACTGTGTCGAACACTACTTGCTGTAACTATCTCGAAGCATCGAGTTTGATTAAGGCTCTAATTAAAATTTGTCACTATTGTGCCACGTAGTTACCCATGAAAAAAAATCTAAATTCTAATATAGTATAACTAAATTCTAAATTAAGCATAGCTAAAATTTTAACTACGTATAGCTAAGATTCTAAACTAGATCTTACTCAAAATTTTTTAACTAGATTTTTATAAAAAAAAAATCTTTAACTAGATTCTGCTAAAAATCTTTAACCTAGGTTTTGTTCAGAAAAACCTTTAAACTGGTTTTCACCAAAAAATCTTTAAATAGGGTTTTACTAAAAATATTATTTAACTAGGGTTTTACTAAAAATATGATTAACTAGGGCCCTTTTAATCTAAATCTTACCATACTTTTTTACATATGTACAAAAAGATGATATCTGAGTGGCACATCTAGATATCTACACCGTTTTTAAAATCGATCCTAAAAGTTTCAATATATCTTCGCCTTCTCTGGCAAAGATCCCCAAAAGATTTTCTCTTTTCTTAATAGAAAAACTAACTTTATAGCTTTACTCAAAAATTTTGAGGCCATTACCTGTACTAAACTTTCGTCAAAGTTATAACCCCAAAAACAATGTTCACTAAATGAACTACCCAAAAAATCATTATCTGAATGGAATATCTAGGTAATATAAGTTGATGCTTTAAGCGCACTAATAAACTGAGAAGTAAAACTTTTCCTAAAATTTTGATACCCGAATTTCATCTAAGTATCCGCAAAATTAATGACCACTCTAGGTGTCAAATCTGAACATAATATGGCTACGTGGAACAATAAATACCGGCTATATCTGAATTGGAACCGTAATATGGTTTTAGCTGACTTACGTGCCACGTAGCTAAAAATTCTCCAGTTTCACTTTCTAACTGGTACGAAACCGGAGATATCGCCCTTTTTACTATACACAGGGTGTACCTGTTAGCTAACTTTGTCGAGAAATTTTCACCTGCGTTCGATAAGACTATACGTTTCGTGATTACGTTTCCATATTTTTTCTCCTACAGCGAAGACACGTTCTAGTCGCCTTAAATTATAATACTTAGTACTACGTTCATATGCCTGATTAAGTCGTTCCTGGACTTTCGTATACAATTCCGGTAATTTACCTACTTCGTCACTATAAGAAATTCTACCTTGCTTGTCTATATCAGTATCTACTGCGCGGTGACCGTAGTAGTCTCCGTCGATAGGAAGCTTTCTTCTGAAATTTAAAAATGTTGGAGTAAATCGAGTTACTTCATGTTTCGCCGTGTTTATCGCGAACTCTATATTTTTGACTTCAACGTCCCACTGTTTGTGGCTGTCTTTTATGAATGACCTTATGGCTGTGCCAATCGTTCGGTTAAGCCTTTCGACAGGGTTAATTTGAAGAAAATACCTACAATTGTAGAACACGTTCGGTATTTTGAATTTCTTTATAAAATCTTTAAATTGTTTACCTCTATGCGCGCTCGCATTATCTAATAATATAGTACCAGGTGTACCAAAAGTTAAACATATGTTTTCTAGAAAAGATACGATATTTTGAGCGGTGGCATTTCTTACCGGTTTAGTATGGCATATTTAGTAAAATAGTCTTAAGCTACGATCAAGAACTTGTTTCGTTTGTTGCTAAGCGGAAAAGGTCCCATTACGCCTACTGATAAAAGCTGAAACGGGAAAGATACCTTCCTCTGTGTTCCCATATGACCAAAGCCTTTAGTAGTGAGAGCTTTTTGTTGCTGACATACTTTGCAGCGTCTTACATAATATAGTACTTCTTTAGCTAAACCTGGCCAATAATAGCTTTCTATTATTTTATGTAACGTTTCATAATATCCGAGATGTGCGGAAGTAGGTGTACAATGATTGTTCTCAATTATGCTTTTTCGTTGTGCCAATGGAACTACTAGTTTCCATTCTGATATATTAGTTTTCAAAATTAATTTATTCGACAAGTGTTTATAAATTAAATCGTCTTTAACCACAAAGTTAGGGTATTTTTCCGGAAATTTAATGATCTTATTTTTAGGTTAAAGTACCATTCTTTAAGATTTTCGGAAGTTACACCGAGGACATTCACGTCAGGAGGTAAAGGAGCACGGGATAACGCGTCAGGAGTGACATGCAGTTTCCCTTTTCGATGAATTACATCGAAATCATACATGGATAACTTCGCCGCCCATCGGTAAAGTCGTCCCGTGGGTTTTACCATGTTCCTCAGATATTTCAGACTAGCATTGTCCGTAATTACTGTAAAATGAGTTCCCTCAATATAACCACGAAAAACCTCACAGAAGTGGAGTAAACTAAGAAACTCTAATTCAACTGCAGGATAGTTACGTTCTGCCTTGGATAAGGATCTGCTTCCGTAGGCTATCACTTTCTCTTCCCCGTTCTGCACCTGGGTTAAGACTGCACCTAAACCTGAAGTTGATGCATCGCACTGTAAACAAAACTCAACAGAAAAATCTGGTGCCGCCAAAATTGGCGCTGAGATAAGCCTTTGCTTAATCTTGTTGAAGGCTTCCTCCGCACGTTCGTTCCATTCGATGGGCCGATTTTTCTTCTTGGGGCCACGGAGTAACTCATTCAACGGACCTGTAATTGTGCTGAAATGTGGAAGAAAACGTTTGTACCAACTCGCCATGCCTAGATACCTTTTTATCTCTGTTGTAGTCCTAGGTTGAGGATAATCTACGACAGCTTTAACCTTAGAAGGTAAAGTTCTCAAATCTGACGAGTCTATGGCGAAACCTAAGTAATTAAGTGAATTTGCATTTCTCTAAGTTTATGGTTAAATTAGCGTCTACTAGACGATTATATACCTCTCGAAGAAGGTTAATATGTTCTTCGAATGTCGAGGATGTGATAATAATATTGTCCAGATATACAAATACCTTGTCGCTAAATTTTGGACCTAGAATACTGTCCATCAATCTTTGTGTTATTTGTGCCGCATTTGATAGTCCGAAGCGCAAAGTTTTAAAATGGAACAGTCCGCGTCCCGGTACGGAAAAAGCAGTTTTTTCCTTACTGTCCTCACTAAGAGGTATCTGCCAAAAAGCACTACGTAGGTCTATAGATGATAAATATTTTGTACTTACAAGCATTTTTAAAATGTCATCAACAAGAGGTAATGGGCAGGAATCTTTTTTTAGTAACCTCGTTTAAGGCTCCTCCGTCAAAACAGAATCTAAATTCTCCGTTACTTTTCTTCACGAGAAGTACAGGTGAATTCCATGGATTAAACGATGCTTCTACAACTCCCAAAGCAAGCATTTTGTCTAATTCCTTATATCGAGCGTTCAAATAAAAATGTGGTCAAGTTGGTTCTGAAGATTTGGACGTAGGGCGTAGGGTATAGCAAATGAACTTAAACGTCATCTGTCAAAGCGCTATATCGCTGCTATCAATTTGAATATTTTCGTTTTAAAAAGCGTTTAAAATGGTGTTTTCTCAAGAACAAAAAGTGTTTATCATAGAGTCCTACTTTAGAAATGGACGCAAGATTGATGGAATATGGAAGTATTCTATTGAGGAATGTTTCATAGAATTTCAAAATCAATTTCCCGGCGTTGTTGAGTACAAAATTTTTCAAAGTGCAGTTCAGCGTTGTGTTAATGTTTTTCGTGAAACGGGCAGTGTAACAAGAAAAGAAGGAAGCGGCCGACCTAAAAAGCGGACTGAAGAATTAAAAGAAAATGTCCAACAAATAATGGAAAATGCGCCAAGAACTTCTGTACGTGTTTTATCACAAATGGTGGGAGTATCAGTCGGTACCTGCCACACAGTGTTAAAAAAAGATTTGCGTTTGTTCTCCTATCGTTTAACTTGTCAGCAAGAACTTCATGAAGTTGATTTTCCGCGACGGGCTGTATTTTGTGAATGGTTTTTAAACAACTACGGTGAACTTCATAATATCACCTTTTTTTCTGATGAAGCCTGGTTTCATTTAAGTGGTTACGTAAACTCACAGAATATGAGAATGTGGTCTTCTGAAAAACCAGATAACTTTTTTGTCGAGGGCCCTCTACACGCTCAAAAAATTGGAGTTTGGTGTGCTCTCAATCGAAGGAGGATTTATGGACCTATTTTTTTTAATGGTACTCTTACTGCGCAAAGGTATAGAGAAGAAATTATCGCTCCTTTTGTTAACCAGCTGGAAGAAAACGAAATTACAAACTTTTACTTTCAACAAGATGGCGCAAGGGCACATACGGCAGGCGAGACGATGAATATGTTGAGGGAAGTTTTCCAAAATCGACTAATAAGTCTCAATGCTGAACATGAATTTCCACCGAGGTCATGTGATATTACGCCGTGTGATTTCTTTTTGTGGCCTTACCTTAAAAACACTATTTTTGAACTGCCTATTCCTGATTTAAACCATCTGCAGGCTCGACTTATAGACAAGATTCGTGAAATTAACAATACCCCGAGCATCTTAGAAAATGTCTTTAATTCTTTGAGGAACAGGTGTGAAAAGTGCTTGGAACAAGGAGGGGGACACTTTCAGCAGCTGCTTTAATTTATTGTTATAACAAGGAGGGGGACACTTTCCGCAGCTTCTTTAATTGTTTGTTATTGTTATCACGATTATTCTTTAAAATAAAGTTATATAGTCAAGAACGTTATTGAAACTGACAGCAGCTATACAGCTCGTTGAGAAATGATGTTAAGTTGGTCGCTATAAGCTACTCCCTACGTCCAATGTGTCAGAGCCAACTTCGACCACGTTTTTATTTGAAAGCTCGTTATAAATGTTCTAAAATATATGGTGACATAGGATATTGTCTTTTCTTAAACGGTTTTGCATCACCCGTATCAATATGTGCAACAATTTTGTTAGTGAGACCAATTCTATTGTCAGACGAAATATTCCCAAACGTTTTAATGATATCCTTTACAACAACCTGCTGTTCCGGAGTTAAATCTTTCATACGTCCTATATCTGTAACATTTTGGTTTGGTTCTTCTACTATTACTTTAACTTCACTCTGATTGAGTTCATTATAAATATCCAAGAATTATTTTTAAAGTTAATTACTAAAGAGAACTTTTTACAGAAACCACTTCCTAAAATTATCCCACACTGGAGTGATGGGATTACTGAAAAGTTTATAATTTTACAAACTTTATCTAAATAAACTGGGATTTTACAAATTCCCTTAACTGGCTGTTGACTTCCATCAGCAGTCTTAATAAAGTGATTATATTTTTTCTCTAATTTAATTTTAAATCTGTCAATTAGGTCTAGATATTGGTTACCTATGCAGTTGACATTTGCACCACTATCCACCAATGCTACAATTTTCTCGTCATAAATCATTATAGGAATATAAGGTCTAGAATCGTTAGGATGTTTAATAAAAATAGGTGAAATTATAAGAGAGTTATCATTATTTTTATAAAAGTTTTTGACTTTGTCTTTCCAATTGTTCCAGTCGTCAAGATCGGTAGTATGTCTCGGTAAGTCTTTATGATGGCCTATACATTTCGACTGGTGTGGGCCTAACACTCCAGTCGACCTGGTTATTTTTGTTTTACTGCACCCACAGCTATTTATTGTATGGTTTTGTTTACCACACTTGTAACAAAACTTATTTTTAGGTTTTCTATAAACATTAAACTTATGTCCTTTAATATGGCAATTCCAACAAGTTACTATATTTTTATCGTTAATTTTTGTTTTAGGTGTTCCGGAAGTCTTGTCGGTTCTTGTCGATGTACAAGGTCTGTCAACGTAAGCTAGATCTGTCTCCATACAGCTAGAAAGTTTTGGTGGCGTATACTTGTTTTGGTGTTGTGTCGCCTCGTCTATTTTTTTACAAAGAGAAATTAATTCTGTTGTGGAGTTTATATCAGTTAGAGCTAAACGTTCTATGTACTTGGGCAAAATATTGCGCCTAATTATTTTTAATTGTTCCGCGTTGGACATAGGAGATAATAAACGATTGAATAAATTTTGCATAGTTGCAATAAACATAGCTATAGGTTCATTACGGCCCTGAGTCCTACTTTTAATTTCGTCTAACAGTTCTTCATTATAATTTGAAGACAAAAATACTTCTTCTAATTTTTTAATTAAATCTGGCCAAGTCGTAATTTCGTGCCTGATCGATCGAAATCAAATTAGTGCCAGTCCCTCAAATAAATCAATGCAAGAATCATATAATTTTGCTACCGAAACATTACGCGCTCTAGCTAACTCGGTTACCCTTTCTAAAAATGCACGTAAACTGGTAGAACCATTAAATTTTAGTCCCCATTTAAAAACTGGTACCGATTTGTTGCTAGAAGAAGGTGCGGTAATATTAGTCGTTATGTTTTTCACTAATTTTGACTCTAAATTGGCTTCTAGTTCAATACAGGAAGCAATGGCGTCATCTTTAAATTCTGACCAAGATTTATTAAGTTCAGGTGGTTCCGCTGGTACTTGAAAACGGTGTACTCTATTTGTTAAACTAATTAATCTAGAATTAATGATGTTACTGAAAGATTCATCTTTTGATGTAGAATATTCTATAATTAACGATTGTAAATCTGAAATTGTTTTATCAGTGACATCTTTCTCAAGTTCTATATCAAAATCAGGATCGACGAAAGTTCTAATGTCTCCTTTATCTTTATTTATCAAATTTTTAAGAATTACTCTTTTTGAAGCTATGTTTTTACGAGTTGTTCTTACGCCTCTAATTCTTAATTCATAATTAATTTCAAATTCCGTTAAATACAGAGGTTCCACTTGTCCTGATATTATTAGAATTTAACTATTAGACTAGATTAAAACTGTTTAAAATGTATGAATAATAAGACTATCTTATACGAAAAAATGTGTTATCAATTTGACATTATAAAAACCACATTCCACATTTGTAATTTGTACAATTGGATAAAATTTTCACCTATTATAATTAGTAAATAAATCAATATTTTAAAACTACCATAGATTTTCAAATATTAATATTGTTCCTTTTACCAAATTCTAACTTCACAAGGGTAGAGATATGAAAAATAATATTCGGGCCCCACGTTGGGCGCCAATTTCTTGTTACACCTATCAGCTTTAAATTCTTTTTGCGCACAGCTGAAGGGGCTAACGGCAGCTCATTGGGCGGAGTGCAGTTGGGTCGTAGTCCGCTTTTGTTTTTTTCTGGTGTTAGATATCTCGACTCTTGCTAAATCGGTCTTTAGTTTCGGGAAGAAACGAGAAATATGTATATGAAAGATGTTAATTTGGACGCCAACCTACTGATTAGAGTATTAATTATTTCTCCTTTCCCCCCGACACCCCAGCAGGTATGGGATGGAAACAATAAAAGGGTACAAATTAAGTTATTATAAAAGATAAAAAAACCAGAACACGACAGTGTCTCAAATTTTTATTCAACTCTCACCCGGACTTCGTAGTGACTGTGACGATGGTGGAGGTGTCTTACAGTCCTTTCGGGTTATGCAGTCTGGTCTCACACTTGACTTGTTGCAATGGTCACATGGTCACCTAAGTTGCGTTCTAGTTACCTGGGTTTTCAAACAAATATTAGAGGTCCTCAACTTGGCAATTTGCCTCGGCTTATGGCATTTACAGCGGTTAATTAGCACTAGCTTTGATTGAAATTAGTACTACCATCTTTAATTATCACTAGCTTTAACACTAGCTGATTATTACTAGCTGATTATTACTAGCTATTTAAATTAGCTGTCTAAACTAGCTGTCTGAACTAGTTGTTTAAACTAATTGTCTAAACTACTTGGCTGGCTTCTAAAACGCAACGTGGGAGAAGAAAAACCTAATTAGTTCTAAATAGATACCTGGGGAAACCTGGGTCAATATTATTCATAATACTTATTTTCTGACGATATCTCAAAGCACTCTGATTGTCCAAAGACTTATAATAATCACTCATTTTAGAAAAAAAGCACTAACATGACACAACAACGATATATTTTGAAATATAGAACCTGACAGAACCTTTAGGTTATGTTCACTAGTTTGTTTATACTCCATGCTGAAAATGTCACGTGACCACGCACATGCTCTATTTAGACTATGGTTCTATTTTGCGTTTTATGCAACAAGTGTGATGTCAAACATTTTAAGGTTAATCTTAAAAATAATTACATTGTTTGTTGTTGGTTATAATGCTGGAAATAAATGTTTTTATATCAATATGCCTTAACAAACTACGTATTTACAATATACAGGTGGTGTACCTAGCTAAAATATTTACAGAGTATGCATCTCAAGGTTGTTGTTATTTAAACAATATAAGTAAGTACGGTGACTTCGTATGATTATAACTAGTTCCTAAAGACCTACACTTTCAGAACTGCACATAACATAGTAAAGTACGTGTACTGGGTGTTCATATGGCTGCTACATTAAATTACACCTGTGGAAATGTGTCTGGAATATTGTGACATAATATAAGATGTTATATTATTTCTCGCAGCACTGACAATTAAAACATTGTGTTACGCCCTCTGTGGGTGGCAGTCGTGCAACAAAGTACCTGCAGTATAGCAGCTCGCTTCCTACTGTAACCATTTGAATGGCACAGTTGGGAGTCAGCATGACAGATGGAGCCATTTGCGCTCCCGCGTACAAAGTCCATATACTACCAAGTACCCAAAACCATATACAGTGTGTTTCGCTTAAAATCGGAACACCTCCGTATTTAGGATGCCGTTGGTCGATTTCCAAAATTCTTTTTTTTATGTGGCCCACTTTTGATATTATATTTATTGACATGTTGTGATCTTTTCTAGAGTCTACTATCATTAAGAAAATACCCTCAAAAATTAAAAAACATTAGGTATTTTTTAAGAAAGATTCGATCACACCTTAAAACCCTAAATACAAAGTTTCATTATTATAGCATTTACAGTGTTCACAAAATAGGTGCAAACTTCGAAAAATTTCACTCATTCCAGTGCCCTGTTATTAACATTTTTAAGGTATTTTTTCATAATTTTAATTAATTTTTCCAAGTAGTTTCATTCTCATACAGGGTGCTCACAATAAGACAGTCAAATTATATATTTTTTTATTATACCAGAAATGGCATTCACAACAAAATAAAATTTAAATATTACAGTGTATTCAACCAATGTCTTACTATTACCGCATGACGAATAGGTACTCCGTCTAGTTGAAGGTAAAGGTTATGTCGTACATGAAGAGGAAGTGCATGTACTGAATGTTATAAATCCCATTATTTAAAAAATTCAAAAAAATCTTTGCGTTTAGATTAACGTTAAAAAAGAAGATCCCGATTATTCGGTCGCATAAAAGCCCACAACACACATTAATTTTTATTAATTAAGTTTATGTAATAGAATTATACAAGCATATCGACAAATATCATCACATCAGGAGAGTTATTGGAAATAAGAGGAGACGAATTGAACAGTGGATACAAAATGGTGGTGGACTAATAGAAAACAGTAATATTTAAATATTACTTCGTTGTGAAACTTATTTCTGGTATAACAAAAAATATATATAATTTGATTGTCTTATTGTGAGCATCCTGTATGAGTGAAATCAATGAAACTGCATGGATATACCTTCGGTTAATAAAATTATGGAAAAATATCTTGAACATATTTTCCACTGTTAATATAAGATACTCTGCAATGAGTAAAATTCATCTATTTTGTGAACACCCTGTAAAAGCTATAATAATCAAATTTTGTATCTAAGGTTTTGAGGTGTGATTAAATCGAAAATGCCATCCATTTCTTTCTTGAAAAATGCCTAATATGTTTTTTAATTTTTGAGGGTCTTAACCCATTTTCTACCAGTGGTGCGTTAACGCACCACTTAATACTTTTTTTTTTATACGTATAAAAATGGTATTTCAATCTTTTCACATGTTTATATCCGCCTAAATATCATATTTTCTTTAAGAGAAAAAATTGTTTTCCTTACCTATTCCCTGATTTATTAAAAAAAATCGCGATCAAATATGCGAAAATATTGCGTTTTTTAAAGGATATTTTATCATCGAAAAACAATATACTTGTAACTGCAATTTTCCATATATTTTGATTTTAAAAATACCTCATATATGTTTACTTGCTTATGATTTGAACAAATATTGTCATTACAAATCTACAAATTTGTATTTTCATGTAAAATAAGATGGTGCGTAAACGCACCACTGGTTTAAACCATGAAGTTTATTCGTCACTCCACGGGTTTCGACAAGTCGGTACAGAGGGAACATATGTCAGTTGTGTTGCACCCTTCATGCTATACGTACTGCTATTCCACACTTTCCTTTTAAAATGTCTTTTACAAGATGTTTGACTCAAAAGGAGTTAGAAGCTGAGCTAGAAAATGTTGTTTCTGAATTAGAAAATGAGCGAAACCAGGAAAACGGTATGTAAACGCTACAAATTTTTATACTAAATATTTTACTCATATTTTATTATTACATATTATTTTCATTCAGTAAAACATTTGTCTAGTGGTGTTTTTTTTATTTCAGATGTGATAGATGTTGTTTATATTCCCCCAAACGTTGATACTTTGACAGATGAAGAGGATATTGACGATGAAAGTTTGGCACCAGAGGAAGTAAATCTTAAGGATATTGTGGGAACTTTTGAGCTACATGGCCCATCTTCAGCCGGAATGAGTCAAAATATAAGACAGTATGAACCTGATTCGTCCGATGAAGAAACCTTAGAATGTAAAAGAAAACGATTACTCCTCTCTACCTCTCGTACAATTTTGCTCCCAACTTTATGGTCGCTTTCACAGATTGAGTATACGCATGCTCCTGTTTCGAATGAGACTGTCGACAAAGAGAGACTGAAAAGTGAATTGTTTGGTAAAACGCCATTAGAAATATTTTTATTGTTTTTTGATGAGGAAGTGATGGATCTCATATTAGGTAATTCACTGAAATACGCTGCGGACAATAATCGACATGAATTTCGTCTTTGTCGAGAGGAACTTTTAAATTTTATAGGAATTATGTTACTTTCGGGGTATCATACTCTTCCGCAGACACATTTGTATTGGTCCACTGATGAGAACAAAAAGGTCGATATCGTCAAAAACTGTATGAGTAGGAATAGATTTTCTAGTATAAAACGCAACATACATGTGTCAGATAATGAC